TCATAAAAAATCGGTACACAAGCGCAATATTTGAACATGAAATGCTTTAAATTTTGTCCAATTTTCTCAGGCTTTTCCCACTAAACTGCGAACGATGGTCATCTGCTTATCTGAGGTTATCTTCATGGAGGGCTTCATGAGAAAGATTTACAACTTCATCAACGGCCTGGAAGTTCTCCACATTGTCGGTGGGTGTGAATTCTATCTAAGCGAGTTTTTACTATAGTTTTCCAAACGAATATCTCCAGGTGGTTACTCCATTGCTACGTGAACCATCTTCCACTAAATTTGTTAATTAGTTTAAACCAAGTAACAGATTGTGGTAAATTATGAAACAAAGTATTGTCGAAAGACTCATTTATGTATATTTAGGTAGCTAACACGGTAATTAATTATATATTCATGCCATATAGAGCAATAATGACATAAAATCGATTAAATCGATGAAAGGTCTTGAAATTGCTCGAAGAAAAATAATCTATCGGTGACTGACAGGCACTTACGAGAAAGCCTCTGAAGAAGAAGAGGAGATATACGAGGTGATCAACATCCATAAACTCAAGTCGGCCACACCCAACCTGAAAGTCGTCAACCTGTACGGCATAAACTTCGTCGACGACTCGCACGTCGAAGCCTTCAGCTCCAATTGCATACAGGTGATGAACCTCAACTTTCCAGATATACACAAGCACATACTTATAATAGAATAGAATAGAATAGTGTCGGCACTGAAGAAATAGGCCCATGGCCTGTTGCCGGTTCTTGAATTTTTCGTGACTTGATTCACAAGGAATCCGGCCTTTGGAACCCGATCTTTCCATAACTGACGATTGATTGAGATAGCTGCTGGACTCATAGCCTGGTCCGTAATTTGCTAGGCATTTTAAGAAACAAAGTATTGTGAGGGACTTGGCTGGAGTTTTGAACATTTCGCATACCTTCACAATGAAGACAGTGACAAAGAACAGCGCTGAAATTTCGTTAATTTTGTTATGGGGCAATATTAATGCGCATCGCGTGGCTGGCTGCCAGACGCGCGTTATTCCGCGCTCCGCGGGTGTGTGTGGCACGGCGTTTTTCGCTCGTCGCTGCGAGTTTTTATTCTACATCGCAAGCGAAAAATATTTTTTTCGCTTGTGATGTAGAATAAACATGTCTTTTTGTTTAAAAAACGCCTAATGAGTCATTCTTATTAATTCATAATTCTTGAAGGTATAAGAGTGAGGAATTTTGCAATTACTTATGTTCGAATTTGCACGGTCTTGATCGATCACTAACTGTCACTTAGAGTTCGGTGAGAAATAGGATTTTAAAAAGATTTAAATTTTTGTCATTCAGGTGAAAGTGTTATTCAAGCTTTTATGCCACTTGATCAGTCATTTATGAAATTTAGCAAAAGAATTGAGAAGTGAAGAATTGTTTTATTATATAAAAAAAATAACGTTTAGAAGATGGCAAGTGGCATTAACAAGTACTTACTACTATACAAAGACCCATGTTATTTACAAAGTCCCATACAAAAAACAGCCACTAGCATTTGTCTTCACTTAGTTACTATATATGAACTTAATTCACAGCAGATAAAGTCTTTTTCTTTCATAAGTTTCTAACAGAATAATGATGTCCTTCACGAGCCTTTAATCATTTTTTCTCACCATTAATCATCGCCAAGTCTTCTTCGCGCTGGTTAGAGCAAATTCTGCGAGTTGTCCTTGTTTTTTAATCGTGTTGGCATCTCTCGCACCGATCGTCTACACTTCTTCTGGTCTTCTTCTAATTTCTCTCGTTCAGTCGTCCTTTTGGTTGAGCAGCTTTGCTGCTTTTTGCCTGCTACGTAAACGTGCGTTTTGGCTCCGGGAGAACCGCATGGGAGCTTGTGTCTGTAGGAGCTGGGAGTGAAGTGTGCTGAGAGTGAAGTGTGCTGGGAGTGAATTATGTTAGGAGTGAAGCGGGCTGGGAGTGGAGTGTGATGGAGTGAATTATGTTAGGAGTGAAGCGGGCTAGGAGTGAAGTGTGATGAGAGAGGGGCGGAGGCTGGAACATCTAAAGGTTAAAATTAAGGAAACTGAACGACAGTTGCAGGACTCACACGAGGCCGAGCAACAAATTGCAGAGGCGCAAGCGGTGTCTGCCATTCGAGCGTATCCCAAATATTTCTACAAATATGCCCGGTCAAAGGCGAAAATCAGAGCCTCAGTGGAGCCTCTGAAAAATAACGATGTCATTGTTGGAGACGACCAGGGCATGTGCGAACTTCTGGGAGCGCAATTTGAAATTAAGGAAACTGAACGACAGTTGCAGGACTCACACGAGGCCGAGCAACAAATTGCAGAGGCGCAAGCGGTGCCTGCCATTCGAGCGTATCCCAAATATTTCTACAAATATGCCCGGTCAAAGGCGAAAATCAGAACCTCAGTGGGGCCTCTGAAAAATAACGATGTCATTGTTGGAGACGACCAGGGCATGTGCGAACTTCTGGGAGCTCAATTTGAAGAATTATTCAGCGAATCCCCATACTCAAGACAGGAGAACGAAATTGGAGTCATTCAAGAACTTACAGGGGAGCGGGAGCTGATGAAAATTGAGTTTGAAACACCGGATCTAGAGAGGAGTATCCAAGAATTATCTACGTATTCGGCCCCCGGGCCAGACATATATGTATATGGGGTCCTTGCAGTATTACTGAAAAAATGCGTCGGGGCACTAAAGGTCCCTCTGACTTTGCTCTGGAAAACATCATTGAGAGAAGGAAATGTTCCAAGTGACCTAAAATTAGGGTTAATTACCCCTATCTACAAAAAAGGTGCAAGAGACAAACCCCAAAATTACAGGCCGGTTACATTAACATCACATGTAATCAAAGTATTTGAGAAGGTTGTTGCCAGAAGGTTGGTGCAGTACATGGAAGACGCCGACCTTTTTAACAGAAGGCAACACGGTATTAGACGAAATCATTCCTGTTTGCCTCAGTTACTGGAGCATCACCACCAAATCCTGGCCATGCTGGAGGAAGGGCCGGGGTGGACGTGGCGTATTTGGACTTCGCGAAATCGTTTGACAAAGTTGACCATGGAGTGCTCTTCAGAAATTTAAGACTTTTGTGAGTCGGAGGTGCATTGCTGGCATGGATCCACAGCTTCCTAACAGAAAGACTACAAGCTGTCGTTGTAGGAGGCTCGAGATCGAGCGAGGCTAGGGTGAAGAGTGGAGTACCAAAGGGAACGGTACTCGGCCCAATCCTCTTCCTCATTCACATCGCCGACATAGACGTGGCTGTGAACCACGCCACTGCATCGTCATTCGCGGACGACATCAGGATACTAATGACCATAACGGACAGGAGGGACTGCGAGAGGTTGCAAGAAGACCTCTCTGCAATATATGACTGGGCCCAAGTGAACAACATGCAGTTCAACGGGACCAAGTTTGAGGATCTGAGATACAGAGGTAGCGGAAGAGCTGGTATTGAGCACCGCTACCTAGCACCTGATAACTCGGAAATCGAAGAGAAGAGACTTGTTCGTGATCTAGGAGTGTTGATGAATACTCAGGTCAATTTTGTTGATCACGTAACGGTAATAACCGCAAGAGGTAGGCGACAGATGGGGTGGATCTGGCGGACGTTCAGAACAAGAATGAAGTGTGCTGGGAGTGAAGTGTGCTGGGAGTGAAGTGTGCTGGGAGTGAAGTGTGCTGGGAGTGAAGTGTGTTGGGAGTGAAGTGTGCTGGGAGTGAAGTGTGCTGGGAGTGGAGTGAGCTGGGAGTGGAGTGAGCTGGGAGTGAAGTGTGTTGGGAGTGAAGTGTGCTGGGAGTGAAGTGTGCTGGGAGTGAAGTGTGCTGGGAGTGATGTGTGCTGGGAGCAAAATGTGCTGCGAGTGAAGTATGCTTGTTGGGGAGTTTACAGGAAAAGTGTAGCGCTAAGAGCGTAGTGTGCATGGAACGCAGCGTGCTATCTCGGAATGCATGAATCGCGTGGTGCTGGAAGTGTATTGGTTTGGGAGCTCGGTATGCGAAAAGCTCACTGTGCTCTAAGAATATTGTGCGTTAATATAAAGACGATGGTGGTAAAGATAGTTTCCAACAGGTGTTTTTCTCATTTTTAAACGCATTGTGCCGAACACTGAGCTGGGAACTCGGTGTGCTGGAAGCACATTATACCTACGTGTATCCCAGCGCACTGTGAGCAGAAATTTGCTTGGAACGCATTATTCTGCCGGTACTGGGAGCTAAGTGTGCTGGGAGCGTAGTGGGCTAAAAACGCAGAGTACTTGGAGATTGGCATGCTGGAAGCGAAAGGAAAAACATGTACGCTGGGAGGTCGGAATGTGGTAAGCGCCATTTGCTGGGAAAATAATGAGTAGGGTGGTATTGTGCTGGGAAAGCAGCGTACTCAGAATTTGTATGCTGGGAGGTCGGTGTGCTGGGAACGTAGAGCGCAGGGAATCCAGTGTACAGGGAGCTTAGTACGCTAGGAACGCAGTAAACCGGCAGCGCCCCTCCCACAGCCTCCTCTGAATACCATGGATTATTGTTGGCAGAGACGACAATGGGGAATAAACTGAGGCCTAGACCGCGTGAGGCCGTGGCGAGACGAAAGTTTCGCCATCGAATAACGTACTGGAAGGTAATTTAAAACAAGACTTTTCAGAGTTCTACGAGTAATTAGCAGACCCAAAATATGCTTGAAAAGAAAAAAATTATTGCAGGCTTCAGCTCGTCATATTTGAAGAAGAATATGTCCTATAGGGAAAGGTAGCCCAGTGGTTGCAGTTCAGGGTACCAGGATTGAGGCAGAGAGGTGCGGGTTCAATCCCAGCTCTGTGCGCCAGTTTCTGGTCAGAAAAGGCGAGGAGGCCGGACGGTTAAGCAAAAGCTAAATTGGAGCTATGAGATAATGCAAGTTCCAGACCACATCAAGCTGTGAATGTACTGCGATGTTAGAAATCGGCGACAGGCCTGCGGCTCAATAAACGCTGGAACCACTATTATAATTATTATTATTACGGTCGCAGTATTTTAAATGAAAGATAAATTTCAGCGAGAAAACTCATTCCATTGAAGAAACAAATGGGATATGAAAATTTGTGGATCATCGTGAGGAAACTCGGCCTATGTAACCTAAGATGTACGTTACGAACAGCCGATGAACGAACAGTGATTATATGATCAGAAAGAATTTAAGTATATATGTAAATACGTGCGGTCTAGGAACGAATAAAGGTGACTAAAACATGAGTACCTGCGATGCTTTTCAAACAGCAAAATATCGTTGACGCATTCAATCAAATCCTGTGAAAATCACAGAGAACACAGTTCGAAGCAGTGTTCAGCAGCCCGCTACATGAGTCCAGCGAATTTAATTAAAGTCCTCCTGTCTCTAGTGCAGTGACAAGGATACAGCGGACGACGAAGGCGGCACATCGGCGCATACGACAAAAACTTAAGACAAGGAAGGATGTAGATAGGCTGAAGTAGCCTTAACACCCGCATGCTTTCGGATAAATCTGAAAGTTTTACTGTTCGAAAAACTTTATATTCTGGGTTTCATTTAATTTCTGATTGCTTGCACATAATATTAGGCGGATTTATACCACAATTTCTGCTTTTACCTTACAAAGATGATAACAATGTCAAGACATTTATAGTTATGTTTTGGTTCATTGTTCACTAAACTATTTTTATTTGTTATACTTCTATTGCCATAAATTAGCAATGAAAAGAATGTAAAGACATAAATTAGAATCTTCACTACAGATCTTCCAACATTCACACCGAATTTTTAATCTTCCATTGCATTTTTTATTATTTCTGAGCATCAACACGTGGCGTCATATAACAAACTTAACAAATAATGTAGCTAGCAGCAAACGGACGCTTAATGTTAATCGAAAATTTCTGTAGACGCTTAGCAAATGCTAATCGAAAATATTATTATCATGTAATTTGGAATGAGCTTTGCTCGACATTTCTCCACGTTGCGCATCTTTCATTTTCAATACAGTTAATTCAAGTCATCGCGGTTTGAGCATTTTTTTTCAATTCCCAAGCTATGAGTAATGACTTTTAACTCCAGCAAAGAATAGATATAAAGAGAGTACTGGTCTTATTATCTCACTTTTACTTTGAAACTGTAAAATTATAGAGAAAAATGAAAAAAAAAATATTATACGTTCTTTTTATGTCCAGTTGCCTACTAATTTATCTAAAAAAATTAGATTCGGAGTATTTAAGAATTCATTAATCTTCATCACGAATTAAAACGGACTGTTCATGTCCAAACGCAGTCATGGCGAGTCCATAAATAAAGCCGACGTGCTGGAAGTTCACTCACCCATCCATCTCATTCCATATAGTGCTGGCAGTCTAATCAACCATTCATCTCATTCTATCGTCCTGATAGTCCAGTCACCCAACCATCCCATTCTATCGTCCATGCAGTCCAGTCGCCCATCAATCTCATTCTATTGTACTGGCAGTCCGTTCACTCACAAACCTTTTTTCTGTCGCATTGAAAATTCATTCGGCTACCTATTACATTCTATCGTACTGCATAGCAGTTAAATCGCCTATTCATAGAAATGGCATCCCCCTGATTCTATCGTACTGGCTGTTCATTTGCTCATCAAGATTATTCAGCCGTTTCTTGCCCAATGATACATGAACAGCAGACAAGTAAGACTTCATAGTAAAGACCAANAGCCGTTTCTTGCCCAATGATACATGAACAGCAGACGAGTAAGTCTTTATAGTAATGACCAATTAAACGATGTTAGTTTCTGCTGCCAATCAAGTCTTAAACTCAACTCAAAAGATGAAATGTAATCGTGTGATGCTTCCGTACAATTATTGACCTGCGGACCAATAAGTCATACTTTTTTTGGCGAAAAATTGTAAAGTCATTGTATGTGAGAGAAAACTTCCTCTTTGATCTGCAGACAGTCAGCAGTCATTATTTAATAACAAACAACAACGGCGGTCTACGTCCGTGAGGCGCATAATAAATGACATGCAGACAAGTCAGTCCTTAGTGTCGCACAAGACAAGTCATAAGCAGGTGTCAAAAGTCTAGTGTCACTCGACGTCACGCCGCTGCGTTGGTTTATTTTAAAGAAGACAAAATAATAAAATTATTTGGACAATTAATCGCTACGGTTGTATTTCGCTCATGCTTACATTTTTGTTATCCTTTGCCAATCTAAATCTTGCACCTCGCTAAGTATTTTTACATATCGCAAAGTATTTTTACACAATATCATTAATATAGTTGCTATGCGTATTGCGTACAAGATTTGACTTCAGTAAAGCAAAAGCATATTTAACGACGGGTCACGTTTTGTTTTCGATAGATCACGCACACAATATTATCATGGAATAGTTGGAACATTTTTCGGAACATTTTGCGCCATTCAGTTTCTGGTACGTTGTACAGGTCGATCATTAGTCTTTTGTAGCTAGAATATTGATTAATACATAACGACAATCAGTGGCATGTTGTGTTGCCAATGTCAATGTGGATTTGCAGGTAATGTATTGTATTTCAAAAGCTTTTTGGAGTATCTAATATCTTTGGTTCGTTTACCCAGAGCATTGACAAGCTGCCGGACAAGGTGCTGATGAAGATCTTCTCGTACGTGCCTCACAAGGAGGTGTGTCGCAACGCCCGCGTCTGCAAGAAGTGGAGGACCTTGTCCATGGACCCTAGGCTCTGGGACGCGGTATCCTTGAGGCCTGAAGTTTCAGGCCTTCATGTGCATAACATGGAGCTTCTTCTATCTCTTATCAAGTAATTAATTTTCCAATAACAGATTGACGATAGAGTTCACCTTTTCCGTACATTTTGTTATATTTTGCTACTCAGTGTCGAAAATATTCATATACAGTATGTACGAAAATAGCCACTAAAAACACGAATTTGAGTTATAAAACCTTAATTGAACGCAGGATTGAGCATAGGTTCTTCAAATATGTCTAATTTTATGAATTTGGACCGTTTAATTTATTCTCATTTTTTGTAAGATAGAAGATCGGCCAGGCGTTGCTCGTGATAATCACTGCAATGTTGTCCTGCTATCCCAAATAACGTAATTTTCGTTATCTTTATTCCAGATAATAATTATAAAATCATTTTATACTAATTATTAAAAGCCCCTTCAAACTCACTCTTTATATTGATCCGCGAACATTCAATTAATTCTTGTTTCAAAGTATGAAAAAACAATTCCTCGTCGTTAAAGTTTAATTTAACAATTCAAAATTCAAATTGAAATTCCTGTCCTAACCCCGCTCGCACTTTGTAATGCCTTATACTTCCCTCATTGTATCACATGATACACATGTATCACATGATACACATGTATCACATGATACACATGTATCACATGATAAGTATCGAGGTATACGCGCCCCAACAGCATTTGCTGTGTCAGGCTTCAAATACAAACGCACATAAAGTATGGCAAATATATGGATGATTGATTCTCAAAATTTTTTGCTCGTAGCTTCTTGTTATAATAAATAAATCACAAATTCAACACTAATAGCTCATACATTTCTTCCTTTAACTATGAGTTTCACTCCATATTTTCTCGTTAAAAATATAAATAAATTTTTAATGTTTAAAATTACCCATTACAACGAATTTTAAACCTTGTCGATCAATATTTTTTTATTACGAAAACTAGTTAATACGTTTCGACACAAGTCTAAACAAATCTTGAAGATTTTGGTCATGTCGTAACGTTACTACCACTAAGTTGCAGTGAATTGACATAAAAAAATACAATTTTATCTTATACACCGCACTGCTTGGTATCTCCATTAAAATTGATAGGCACTGCCAGAGTTTTTTTTTACTCGTTAACTCCTAAACTGCGTAATGTCAAGGTAATTAATTTGAACTAATTTCTCTGCAATTCAGTAACCGTTTCGCGGCTGCGCTGCGGTACATCGAGCTCCCCATGGAGCTGATAACTCACCCCGTGCTGCACGAACTGGCTAACCGCTGCCCCAACCTGACCATGATGCTGCTCGACTTCTCCACCGCCATGCAGCTGCACGACTTCAACGATATGCAGGTTACTTTTATTACTGACATGCAGGTCACTTCTGTTACTGACATGCAGGTCACTTCTATTACTGACATGCAGGTCGCTTCTATTACGGACATTTACTAATTGGTTCGTTGTAGAGTGAACTTGCATGAAGGATTTCTGGAATGGTAATGAAATATACGGTACATTGTGTGTCTAGGAAATTGCTGCAGATACGAAAAGTGTGTAAAACCCAAATAATTTTCCAAAGTCAAGTGTTTACTTAAACTTGTAGAATATGGATTTCATTCTAATCAAATGCAACTTGATTAAACTTTAATCAATCGTCAATGATGAAAAGATCGGGTTCAAAAGGCCGGATCCCTTGTGAATCAAGTCACGAAAAGTACATGAATTAGCAACAGGCCATGGGCCTATTTCCTAAGTGCCGGCACTTCTATTTTATTCTAAACTACCAAAAGCCAAACTTCCAGTTGGTTGATTGCATGGTGTCATCTTAATTGAACCTAGGGTAATTTACAACATGGCGTGCAGAAATTTCGGCTGAAATAAACGACAAATGTTTAAATTATTCTGTCAGCCTCATCATTGATACCCTGTTATAATTTTTGCCGAAACCTACTTTTTTTCAGCAGTTTTTATGATGTGTGTCTTGGAAATTGATGCAGAAACTAAAAGTATGTAGGAGCCTAATAATTTTACATGGCAAAGGGTTTATTCAAACTTGTAAAATATGGATTTCATTCTAATTAAATGCCACTTGATCAAACTCCAATTAATCGTCAATTATGAAAAGATCTGGTTCAAAAGGCCGGATACCTCGTGAATCAAGTTACGAAAAGTGCAAGAATCGGCAACCATTCTAAACTGCCAAAAACCAAACTTCCAGTTGGTTGATTGCATAAACGACAAATGTTTAAATTATTCTGTCAGCCTCATCATCGATCTACTGTTATAATTTTTGCAAAAACCCACTTTATCAGTAGTTTTTTATATTTATTTATGATATTATTTCTTTTGCATTATAAAAAAATATATCCCTCTTTATCAGGACGCAATAAATAGGATATGTGCAAAATAGAACGCAGTGAATCGTCTTGATTGAAATTGTACATTATTTATTTTTCTTAGCACGTTTTTCGATAATTTCCTCTTTTCTGGCATTATTGTGCAATGGGTATAGATTTATGAATTCGACGCGAAGTATGAGTGAGGTGGATGCAAATAGGATCTTTACAAGTCATTTATTAATTTTACTCAATGATTGCCATTAAAAGCATCGTATTTCCTGTCTCCTCATTTACACTTATTCTATCCTTAAGAAAGGCTACGAAGAAAATGAAATTGTCTGTGAAAAAAAAATCATAAAAAATCGGTACACAAGCGCAATATTTGAACATGAAATGCTTTAAATTTTGTCTAATTTTCTCAGGCTTTTCCCACTAAACTGCGAACGATGGTCATCTGCTTATCAGAGGTCATCTTCATGGAGGGCTTCATGAGAAAAATTTACAACTTCATTAACGGCCTGGAAGTTCTCCACATTGTCGGTGGGTGTGAATTCTATCTAAGCGCTTTTTAGCGCATTTTCTCATTTATGAAAAAATTGCACTATTGTGTTCGCCATATGTGTTTGTCTGTTTGTCTGTTTGTCTGTCTGTCCGTCCGTGACCTCAAGTTTTCGTCGACGAGAAAATGCGCTCTCTGTCACTCACTGCAGTGAGTACTAAGTTAAATTTTTTTACTATAGTTTTCCATACGAACATCTCCATGTGGTTACTCCATTAGTACGTGAACTACTTACATCTAAATTTGTTAATTAGTTGAAACCAAGTAACATATTGTGGTGAATTATGAAACAAGGTATTATCGAAAAACTCATTTTATTATTAGGGCAACGTGGGGCAGCGCGCCCCCCACTTTTTTTAAACTAAATTTTTGATGAAGTTTTAATTGATACGAGGTGGTTCTTTGTTTTGTTTAAAGGTACAACTAANCCATACTTAGCGAGAAACCCGCTATGGGCCCGTGACCCGCAGTGGGCTCGCTGCCCCATGTTACCCTATAAGGTAGCTAACACGGTAATTAATAATATATTTGTGTCATGGAGCAATAATGACATAAAATCGATGTAAGCTCTTTAAACTGCTCGAAGAAAAATAATCTATCGGTGAATGACAGGCACATACGAGAAAGCCTCTGAAGAAGAAGAGGAAATATACGAAGTGATCAACATCCACAAACTAAAGTCGGCCACACCCAACCTGAAAGTCGTCAACCTGTACGGCATAAACTTCGTCGACGACTCGCACGTCGAAGCCTTCAGCTCCAACTGCATCCAGGTGATCAACCTCAACTTTCCAGATATACACAAACGCATACTTATAATGAGGGACTTTAAATTGAAATTGAAATGCGTGGTGACCTCCGGTCACGACCTTTATATCGGTCATACACGCTGCCTAAAAATCTTTACTAGCATCAAAAAATTAAAAGTTCACACTCTTATCATAACAAAAAAAGTTCAATTAACCCGTATTCACAGCAGTCCTAAGAAAAAACTTAACAATCTCGTTTCGTTTCGTTTTGCAACAACCTAAAAAAATAAAACAACATACTAAAACAATTCGGCACGGTCACATGTCTTCCCACCCTCCCCTCTCTCAACCCTCCATTCCTCAAGACCTCACTCCCCACTCCTCCACCTCTGAATAACTTGGCTGGAGTTTTGCAACATTTCGTATATCTTCACTGTTGGGGACTATTCAATAAATAAGCATTCTAACCTCAAACACTTGGCCAATGATCGCAATTAAAGGATGAAGAAAAACTGATAAATCAGGAAATATAATAACAAATGAACGACAAATACATGAAAACAAATATCAAAAACTATGAACCGTGTGTCTATCTATAGCCCTTCACTTTCAACTTTTAAGAATCCTAGGTTCGGAGCCTCGCTGAAAAGCAAGAATAAATACAAATTAAAGACTTGAATTAACGTAACGCTAACGAAATAATATATAACACATGAATAATAACCTAATATAAATATTCAATATCACCAGAAAACCACCACTACATAAACACGAAAGATTAACACGATAAACAATTCAAGTACTAACCTCTGTGGTGGATCACATAATAATGACGAGGTACATAGCGGGTCTACACGAGGTGACTTCATAGTTCACTCAAAAAACAAAATGACAATCCTAACTATCGATGAAATTATAATATTTAAAAGCGTTCCCTAACATCACAATGAAGACACTGGCAAAGAACAGCGCTGAAATTTCGTTAATTTTGTTGACTCCGCAATGTTTTACACTGCGGAGTAAACAAAATAATTAAGCTTTGAAGTTCACAACGAAAAAAGTTTTCATGTTATCTTAGATGGATCAAATTAATTAACATGCCAATTTTAGCAGCAAACATTGTGTAGTGTTGAGATTCAATTACCAGCAACCCTAGCCTGATAATATCAATTCGGATTGAGATTCACTATAAGCCTACAGGTACCCAGACATTTATTGCAATGACGGGACGATGTCGTAAATAAAAACCCGCATAGAACGAAACGACGCCAATCCAATCGTCGCATGGCCAGACCAAAAACAAATCTGACAAGTAAAAAATAAAAACCAAACAAATTATAGGAGCAGAGCAGCGAACACAGAACTAACGTAACGTAAGCGAAACAAAAAGAACAACAAGAAGACCACCAGACGAACTACCAACAATAACAGCAAGGAAGTAACAAACACACACGTCCAGGCAAAAGAAAACAACCAACCACGAAAAAGAAATCGCCAAATACGTGAACCTAATTGAGTTTTGATTGTACGGCCACTGTTCTCGCTCGATCATAACTGGTGCGTAAAAGGTTAACTGACAGTCCGTGAATTTCTCGGTGCGGCAGCTCGAGTGCCTGGCTGTGAATTTCTGCGCCAAAGTCACGGGTTCTTCGCTAAAAATTCTACTCGGCCGCTGCAAGAAGCTCAAGTGTCTGCTCATGAACCAGTGCAGTGAGTAGCTCATCGCGTCTGTCGTTACCTGAACCTTTATTGTTGATTATTACCGTCTCTCGTGTTGATTCACTTATTATTCGAACCATTTTCTATGTTTCATAGCTATATTTAATATATAAAGATTTCTGCAAATGGTACGCGTAAGCCATCTACAGAAGGTTTTCATTAAATTAATGTCAGTCGAAAGCCTATAGTTTTCTCTTGACGCTTACTTATAACATTGGTGACGATCACTAGTCTGCACCAACTTAAATAGCTCACTACATTCGACAGGCGTTTCAATTTGTTTGCAGCATATTTTTTTAATATGACTATATATACCGCTAAATAACATTATTCTGCAGTCTCCTCTGTTTTTTCCTATCCAGTGACACTTAGACTCTATGTTTACGTCATTCCTTTGTGGATTTGAATAAATTTCTACGGAGAAACTTCCTCCGTGTCTTACTTTAGCAAATTCTTGCGACTGTGACCCATTAAATCACATACTAGGCTACCATAGAGGCTTCTCCAATGTATTTGCCATCACCCGCCCAACCAATTACAGGATTGCTACAATAACTACTGAAGAAGCTGATTAAAAATTTTCTCACATAAACTTCTGCCTGAATACCTGAAGGTTTTCTTAGCTGCAATTTACCATTGTTTTTCGCAATATGGCAAATTAGACTTGAGTTAGGATTTAAAACTTAGACTATAATGTTTCAAAGCGACATTTTATTAAAATTTTAATATGATGGTCTTCAACGAAACGTGCATCAAAGAACTACTTTAGCCCAACTATAATGTCAATACTTCTGACTGCTTGCATCATCTTCCACTGAGGTTTTAGTCATCTTTACTAGACAGGAAACAAATTTTTCCTGATATATTTTATATCAGTTAAAAATGTAGTGTATGTATTGCAGGCCTCCAGGATTCGCTGGTGATGGAGGCAGAGTGGGAGAAGTCCTCCATCCAGGAGCTGGACATCACCGCCAACGACCTGTCGCAAGAATGTCTTATTGACCTCCTCTGCCGTATCCCTGCGCTGCGTTGGCTCAGCGCCGGCCAGATCGACGGATTCACTGACCAAGTGGGCTAGCAAATCAGGGGCTTTACTGAGCAATAATGCTCGTAAATATGACTTTACTGACCTGATGTTTTTGTTTGTTGGTAAACCAGCTACATAACGGCCAGGTGTGCTTGGATTGTGACTTACACTACTGATCAGATGTGACCCTAAATCTCAGGTTCACTAAGTAGGTATGAACGTTAATCAAAGAAGTCCTGATTAAGTGTGTCCGTAAATCAACGGTTTACTGAACCGGTGTTCACGTAGATCAGCCGGATTACAGAGCGGTTGAGCGTAGGTAATCCGGCTGATAGGTAATCCGTAGGTATATGAACGTTAATCAAAGAAGTCCTGATTAAGTGTGTCCGTAAATCAACGGTTTACTGAACCGTTGTTCACGTAGATCAGCCGGATTACAAAGCGGTTGAGCTCGCGGCCAAGATTATTATTTGAATTTTATCAATATATTCAAATGAAATACGTCATGGAAAAAATGCTTAGCATATATTTGGCATTTTTGGAAGCTAAAAAATGATTCGAAACTTTTCTCATGCTTAATTCGACAAACGATTATTTTTAAAATTAAATTCGTAGCTCGAGTGATGACCGTAAATTAAAACAACTTATGTAGCATTGAGACTCATATAAATAGTTTTAAATTTTGCAAATTTGTTTTAAATTTTAAGTGTGTTGTTATTTTAATTCAAGGTAATTTCATGAATGCAGGTGCTGAAGAATTGGATGGAGAGAGGAAACTTAAAGAGCTTAATTGCCGTTGACTTCGAGATGTGCGACAACCTCTCGGAAGAAGGACTCTACAAGTTCCTAGCGAGGGTTGGTCCTAGTCTCCGAGGCTGTGTCCTCGCCGGCATCCCTCAGGTCACCGACACTCTGCTCTCCAACATCATGCCTGCTCTCAAGAACATCAGGTGAGCTAAAAGCTCCCTAATAATTAACGCTAATTCTAATCATTTTCTTAAAGTTGAGAGTGCTGTTGATTAGTGTATCAGAGCATATATATTATTTTAACGAGTATTACAAGAATAACCGATGCTTTAATTGATACAAATTGTTCTTCCAGTCTTAGTTCACTTTAACCCAGAGAAACCATATTTATCCTGAGTATTTTACTGGTATTTGACTACTACCGACGCACCAAACGCTTTGCTTCCACAGGCGCATGTAAGGATGATTTGTGCTCAATATTTAAAGTAATTTTGAGTGTAAAAGTATCTTGAATTTCAAAGGATCTTGAAGATGGGCATGTTGCTGGACTGCGCGAACAGAATGCAGTGCAAGATCAGCGTCGACCAACTGACCGACGTTCTCGCTCGCTACGGCCCCAACCTGGAGCGCCTCGAGATGAGCTGGGGACCAGATATCGTCAGGTTCTCAGACAAGAGCCAGAAGGCGATCGACACTCTCAGAGTGCGATGTCTCAAACTCAAGTGTCTCGTGCTCAGGTGAGACCAGCTTCAACAATGTCAACATAATATATCAGATCCCAATTGATATATGATCCCCTTCCCTGTAAAAATTTACAGACGCTGCAGCTTCTGATTTGGATTACTAGAAGCTGGGGCGACTCTAAATTTTGTTAGGGTTGTGGTTCCCATGCTCATGAATAATATCACTTCAATACTGCTCAATGTGATACTGTGATACAAAAAACACATTCTTTTGTTTTTTTTTTCTGCCAGTGACACATTGAAACTGACTTGATGTGGTGACCACATCGTTCTACTTTAATTTAATTGATTCATTATTGCGTATTTACCATTAGTGATGGCAAATACTACGAGGTGGTGAAAGCGAACTTCGAGCGAGCCGACAGACTAACGGTGGTGCGCACCTCCACGAACTGCACCATATCCAACGTGTACCTCCTCAACAACTACAAAGACCTCGTCTTTAATTAAACAAACTCCTTATATAATTCCTTAGAAGATTATGGCGAAATTAGACATAAAGTAGATGCTGGTTTCCAAAGTATGACACTTTTTCAGTTTAAGTTTCAGCTATTCATACGACGTCTATTTTTCCGTGAATAATGAATTGAAGAATAGTGAATTGTGTTCGGTTTGCAAACCCATTTAATGCGAGAAAGTTATCTTGAAAGCCTCAAAAATTTAGAGAAAATATCAAAAGATAGCGTATCCTTTAAACAAGGTATGATATGAACTACATTTCCTTTACTATCATACACCGAAAAATTGTTCACGGTCATATTGGTAATTTGGGGACCTGATACTGCCTAGTGAATTTAATCTATTTCTAGAAGCGCGAAATCAATAGCCAAAGTGAAAATTGAGTCTGATAACAACAATATACATTTGATTATTTAACTTTTTTGAGAGTTTAAGCAACGAGTTGCGTAAGCAGACAATGGAAAATCGTGAATACCTGACGCCTAATCCTGAGTTCGGTTTTTTCGTGTCTTCATGCAGAGTAACGATTATATTGCCTTTCGTTTTGGGCGAAACGGTAACGAGATGCCATTTGTAAGAGGTGAGCTTATATAGGAGCGATGTTTTAGCGCGATGCTTTGTAGGTGCGCTATCATGTAGATGTGATGTGTCAGTGTGATGCCACGTAGAAGCGAAATGCGTACTAAAGGTTGCGAACATATCCCAAGTATGGTAATTTTATATCCAAATATTTACAAGTATACAAGGACGTATTAACAAGAGAGAACTATGTTTTTCTACACATTTTTCATAAGGGTTGTTCAAATATATTTTTCGCGACTAAATAAATATTAACTAACGTCTACAGACAATTCAAATATCCTTCATGAACCCAAATGAAGTGTAACTGGTAACTCTTGCATCATATTCAATAAAATCAACACAATGATGCGAAAAATAACGAGCAGCAAAAACTTTTGTAGCACTATACTGAAAAAGTATCAGTTTTACCAGTAAGAAACTGAATAAACTTGAACCAAAAAAGTTTAATCCTTCCAACAACTTCTAACTATAACCGAGGACTATGAATTCAATTAAATCTTATACTTTCGCATGCGTCTCGGTAACTTCCAGCAAGTAGGTACTCACAGAATTCTTCGGTCTTGAATGGAATTAGGTTGTTATCCTGTAGCAGGTATTCGTCTTGATGGAGATATCCGTTCTTTTGTGATACAAAGCACAAGTGAACACTATAATATCCAGTGTTAACTTCGAGGTTTATTATTATATTTTTACTTTTCGATGCCTGAATTTTCTAGTATCAAAATTACTGAGTATTTGATAACGTATTGACTTCGGTTTCTGGTGCGACAATATATGAAATAATTTTTAGTTTTTTAGCTGTTCGAATTAGATGTTTGAACTTCAATTTAAATACATGTATAAATTTGAAGTGGATTCGCTGATTGAATTGAAAGTTATATGACAATATAAATAGGAAAACAAAGAAGTATACTGATTTCCCCAGAAGCAGATAAAATAAATGATGATTCTTCAAAAAATTTCACCTAAATGTCTTCAAGTTTTCCTTCAGTAAAGAAATCTCGATTGAGATCAATGTATATGTTTATTGTGTGACACATTTTATTTCTTCATTTTCCCGGTTTCAATTTACTCATGAGGTTCGTGATTGCTCGATTGAACCTTGGAGTCCTCGTTGATCCTGTTAATTATTGGTTACATGTTTTATGAGAGAAAAATCAAATTTCACGCAGAAATATGGAAATAGACGATATTTATTGAAAATTCTTTTATTTTTCCACGTCGGTCAAAAAGCCATGTTTTCATTTCAAGCAAGGAATCAACATACATCACGGTGGCGATACAATATCTCTACGACGATACAATATCTCTACGACGATACAATATCTCTACGACGATACAATATCTCTACGACAATAGAATATATCTACGACAATACAATATCTCTACGACAATACAATATCTCTACGACGATACAATATCTCTACGACGATACAATATCTCTACGACGATACAATATCTCTACGACGATACAATATCTCTACGACGATACAATATCTCTACGACAATACAATATCTCTACGACGATACAATAAACGATACAATACCTCTACGACGATACAATATCTCTACGACGAAACAATATCTCTACGACGATACAATATCTCTACGACGATACAATACCTCTACGACGATACAATATATCTACGGCGATACAATATCTATACGACGATACAATATCTGGGACGGTGGGACGGAGGAGAGGTACCAGGGGAGGTGGGATTCTTTTTTTTTTTCATTCCAACAGAACTCAAAAACGTTTCATTCAATTTTCCCTGGTATAACGATAAATTCTGAACAAAAAAGTTCTCATTCAAACATATTATATAAATGCGCAGCCGTGAACGTGGTGCAATTTATACCTATTCTTCTCAGTTTGAATGAACAACATGATTTCAAACGATTATGTTGTGTTAGTATTTGTATTAATGAATCTTGTTTTACATATCGTTGATATCGGCTTAGAATTGGCAGCGCTTTATGCATATGATACTTGAGCGAAACGTGAATTTTTATTTTTAATCATGAGGGAAGATGAAAAATAAAAATTTACGACCCTTATAACAGAACAGTTTTATAAACAACTTTATTCATAACATTATTCGAATCAATTCACATATGATGGAGTTATACTTGATGCAAGTGTGTAGAACGTGCGCTTTGCGTCACCACATTGACACCTTAGGGATGAATTTCCACAGGTTTTCCATGCATAATTTGGTCAAGCCGAGACAAATCAGGACCAAATTAAAAATGGATATATTTACTGACATTATGCTCATGATAGCATCCACAGAAATTTTTTGTCTGCTTAGATTTTAATTAGCGCAATAAACGCTAAGTTTTAGCCGGTTTCCCACTCATACATTTTTCAAATTGAAACCAATCTTGACTTAATTATATAAGAAGCTTTTTATTCACAATACACTCCTGCGAGCGTTTTCAAAATTATTTTTGTGCGCTTTGTTTTAGAGTAGTGCGCTACACGCTAAGTTTTTAGACGTGCACAGGGAGCTAAAACGTAGAGTACAGCGAATTGTGTAAAAAAACTAAAATTCTGACAACGCTCACAAGAGCGTATTGTGAATAAATAGCTTCGTTGTTAATTAGGTCCTGATCGGATTCAATCTGAAAATTTTCTGCGTGAAAAACCTGCTAACACTTAGCTTTTAGGGCGTTAATTAAAATCGAAGCGGAAAAAAATTCTGTCATGAGCATAATGTCAATAAATATCTCCAATTCCAATTTGGTTCTGATCAGTTTCAAATTGACAAACATATGTGTGAAAAAAATAAAATGTATTCATGGAAATTCGTCCCATAATTGTCGATTTGGTCGAAAATTCGTCTCAAATTGTCAATGTGGTCTTTGTGTTTGAGTCAACTGTTGATTTCAACGTCATATCATATCATAGTGATGTCGGCGCTGAAGAATAGGCCTGATGTGGCCTGTCTCCGATTCTTGTATTTTTCTTGACTTTTACACAAGAGATCTAAAAACAGGTCTCGAAGCGAGAAGAAATGTCGCGTGGATGAGTTGCAACGCAGTTTTTTAGTTTATGGTCGCGGCCCCTGATGTTGGTTCTTGTTTCAAATTCTAGTTATCCTTCTGGAACCTTGTATAAACGATGAGTATACATGTATGCTTCGATGAGGTCCCCATTGAGGTCCGCAAAAATGACGATTCAAAATTTAAATCTCATAATTCTAACTTAGGATAATCGTTCTTGGCGGACGAAAAGAATTATTATTATTAGGATTTTGTAATAGTTAGTGGCAACATTATATCCTGACCAACACATTGTATGTCAACGTGAAGCGCGAATATATACATCTTTTCTAGAAATGTCTGCAGAAATCGCTTTTTGCCGCTTCGAGGTGAAGTATGTATCAAATATTTAAGAGGGTAAAAGCAGAAGAAAATAAAAATTAGAAATATCTTAGAAGCTTTTCTCTATTTAACTTTGCGTATTTTTAAGCAACGATTTATAATAAATTCTTCTCCTGACAACATTTATTTTTCATCTTTTTGTGCTACGAAAACGTTCGAGACTTCGAGTTGTGTTTAGCTTTGTGAGCAGGCATGGTGGTTGGGGTGCTGGCGCGACCACGCTGGTTTCACTTTGATGTCTTGATGTACATTGTTCTCTTGCTCTCTAGTCTCTACGCGAACAAGTTCTAATTTGAAGCTGCCTGTAGCACTTCCATAAGCTGTGAATTGTAATTTGTACAGCTATTCATTTGTATTCGAAGGTGAGTTATATGAAATGAAACATTTTCACAACAAAGCAGCGGTAATTTCTCAATAGACTTCTGAGTATAATCAGTATTTACTTTGAAACTAAACTGACATCGTAGCATTAACTTTCTAGCCTTATTAATATCTTGAAATAACTATGACTACAGTACAGTTGGCACAGTACTTCTGTTGCCAGGCTCTAATGGAAAGGTTCATTCTACAAATAAATTTGAACCAAAACATCCATGGACCCTAGGCTCTGGGACGCGGTATCCTTGAGGCCTGAAGTTTCAGGCCTCCATGTGCATAACATGGGGCTTCTTCTATCACTTATCAAGTAATTAATTATCCAATAAAAGATTGGCGATAGAGTTCATCATTTCCGTACCATTTTGTTATATTTTGCCACTCAGTGTCCGACTTATTAATATATATATATATATATATATATATATATGTAATGTATGTACGAAAATATTCATATATGTACGAAAATAGTTACCAAAAACAACGAATTTTTGAATTATCAAACCTTGATTGAACGCAGCATTGAGCATAGTTTCCTTAAATATGCCTAATTTTATGCCGTCTCTTAACGAATTTGGACCGTTTAATTTCTTCTCATTTTTTGTATGATAGAAGGTCGGTCAGGCGTTGCTCGTGATAATCATTGCAATTTTATCCCACTATCCCAAATTACGTAATTTCCGTTATCTGTATTTCAATTAATAATTATAAAGCCACTTTATACTAAATATTGCAAGCCTCTATAAATCTTACTTATAAAGCCTCTCTTACTTATAAAGCCACTCTCTATAAATCTTACTTATAAAGCCTCTCTTACACTTTCGAAATTTATTGATAATACAGTTCTTCATTTAACTATGTGTTTCACTCCATATTTTCTCGTTAAAAATATAAATAAATTTTTAATGTTGAAAATTACCCGTAATTAATTTGAACCAATTTCTCTGCAATTCAGTAACCGTTTCGCGGCTGCGCTGCGGTACATCGAGCTCCCCATGGAGCTGATAACTCACCCCGTGCTGCACGAACTGGCTAACCGCTGCCCCAACCTGACCATGATGCTGCTAGACTTCTCCACCGCCATGCAACTGCACGACTTCAACGATATGCAGGTTACTTTTATTACTGACATGCAGGTCACTTCTGTTACTGACATGCAGGTCACTTCTATTACTGACATGCAGGTCGCTTCTATTACGGACATTTACTAATTGGTTCGTTGTAGAGTGAACTTGCATGAAGGATTTCTGGAATGGTAATGAAATATACGGTACATTGTGTGTCTAGGAAATTGCTGCAGATACGAAAAGTGTGTAAAACCCAAATAATTTTCCAAAGTCAAGTGTTTACTTAAACTTGTAGAATATGGATTTCATTCTAATCAAATGCAACTTGATTAAACTTTAATCAATCGTCAATGATGAAAAGATCGGGTTCAAAAGGCCGGATCCCTTGTGAATCAAGTCACGAAAAGTACATGAATTAGCAACAGGCCATGGGCCTATTTCCTAAGTGCCGGCACTTCTATTTTATTCTAAACTACCAAAAGCCAAACTTCCAGTTGGTTGATTGCATGGTGTCATCTTAATTGAACCTAGGGTAATTTACAACATGGCGTGCAGAAATTTCGGCTGAAATAAACGACAAATGTTTAAATTATTCTGTCAGCCTCATCATTGATACCCTGTTATAATTTTTGCCGAAACCTACTTTTTTTCAGCAGTTTTTATGTTTATTTATGATATTATTTCTTTTGCATCATAAAAAAATATATCCCCCTTTATCAGGACGCAATAAATAGGATATGAGCAAAATAGGACGCAGTGAATCGTCTTGATTGAAATTGTACATTATTTATTTTTCTTAGTACGTTTTTCGATAATTTAATTAATTAATTAATTAACATTAATTTTTTTTATTAATTTTACTCAATGATTGCCATTAAAAGCATCGTATTTTCTGTCTCCTTATTTACATTTATTCTATCCTTAAGAAAGGCTACGAAGAAAATAAAATTGTCTGTGAAAGAAAATCATAAAAAATCGGTACACAAGCGCAATATTTGAAGATGANTAGTAAATAACCAAAATAGAATTTCCATAAAAAATTGGACATTGCCATTGGAAATTGGAAATTATATTTCAGTTATTTACTGACAGATAACTCTGAAACTTGGTACACATATGTAAAAAATAAATCTAAGACTTTTTTTATTCCTGTGAATTTTTCGAAAAAATTACAGAAAACGTGAAATTGTTGGAAAAGTTAGCTAGTCCCTGGTGTGACGAATTCGTCATGCCAGGTCGTAAAGGGTTAATGTAATTCTCTTCCTCTCAATGTCATATCAAACAGCTTTGTTTACAGAAATGGCTGCTCAATTGAATTTGGAAGAATTGTATATTGCATGCAATGCACGTTCCAACAATGCCTTTTTCTGT